CCTTAGTTACTTGTTAAGAATTATCATTATTATCTTTACTGTTGTTATTATTAGTTTCATTTTTATACCACCCAATAGCCAAAGGGCTCTGGGATTTGTGAGAGAGTGTGGCATGTTTGGTAGAACCTAATTTGTTTCAGGCCTTAAACAAAACTTTGCATGATCAGCATAGCCGTGTAAGAACTCTTGCTAACTAAAACAACAAAGATTTGGCCACATTTTCTATGACAAACTCCTTCTGTTTAAAGATTTGAAACATTTTTCCCTTCAAGCTTCTGAAACCGTACTCTCTTTCTATCATTCCCATTCACCGGTTTCTGACTTAGCCACTTCTGAATGTGAAAAAAGTATACATTTACCAATGGAATGTTTAAACTTGAATCAGATCCCTGGATATTATGGAAGAACTATGTACAGCTGTGTGTGTGCAGACATGTACACAGAATAAAGATATATGGTGCTGTGGCTCCATTGTTTTACCCATGCAAGGACTCTTTTTCTTCGATAGTCTGGACAGGTGAAGCTCTAATAGTCTGCCCCTTGTACCCTTTTTTCTATTCAGACTTGCATAGGATTGCACCTTATGCTATGCTAATCTCTACTTAGAGTATTATTTGTAGTGCTTCATGCTTGAAGCAGGCTTGTCTTCATTTGATTTAGTGTATGCATTTGCATACTTTCCCATTAAAGGAAATGTCTTTAAACTATTTCCACACGGTGATGTCATTTTGACCAGCACCCATGGCATTCTGAGGATAAGATGGCGCTCCTGTACATGTCTACTCAGAACTATGTTCCTTTGAACTCTGTGGGGCTAACTGTCAGGGAAGCACTTGTAGGATTCCAGGATCAGTGCAAGATGCACACTGGATAATTTTGCTTCTTTCTTTTTCCATCTTTTTTTTTTTTTTTGTTTCACACTGCCTTGGCCCAGCTTTGCCATCACAAATAACTAAGCAGGTAACTTGAACAGTTCAGGCAGACTTGAATATTTTATTAGTGTAATGTGAAAACAAATGCCTGTTTGAGTCCCGCAGGACTGGGCAACTTATGGTCCTCCAGATGATTTGGCTTATAACATCCACCAGCCCTAGCTAGTATAGTCAATACTGAAGGATCATGGGAGTTGTAGGTCAAAAGATATAAAGGGCCACAAATTGCCCACAAATGGATTCTACATTTGGATACTAAAAAGCTTTCTTTAACTGGCTGTGTCTTATACAGACACTCATTTAGTTCACAGTTTAACTGTATGGCTGACATGCTTATATCTGGTTTAATGTTAGTCCAGTAGTTGTTTAAGAAAAACCTTGTATTTCCATTTAAAAACGACAAAAAAGTCAATTTAAATGTTTAAATACTTCTTAAAAGATTTTCCTGTTTTTGTTTTGTTTTGTTTGGACTAGCGCACACGACTCAGTTCACACAGCCAGGCTGGCACTACTTAAAAGTCGATGGACACCTGGAAGCAGGTGGCAGCTATGTGGCTCTGACTGATGGACAAGGAAATCTTACGATCATCATTGAAACAATGGTAACATTCTTTGTCGAAGCCCACCTAACTCAGAACTGATTTCCAGCTATAGAAGCTGTGGTTGTATAATAGCACAAGTGCTTTGCAACTACATGCTTCTGTCTACTTATGGAGCAGTCGATTCACTGGGAAGGGTGAGCGTTTCAAAGTAACTGCACTTTAAACTTGCCTAAGTGCTGGGATTAAGCTATGACCTCCTAGCATCAGCCCCTGTGTCTGCAATATGGAGACCATTTATTGGGCTTCTGGCAATCATTTGGAAAGGAAAACAAAGATGAAACTGCCAGTATTATAATACCTTTATACAAATCTGTGGTGTGACCTCGCTTGGAATGCTGTGTTTAGTTTTGATCATTGCACATCAAATGGGATGCTGTAGAGTTGGACTCAGTGCAGAAAAGAACAACCTAAGTGATCCCATTCCTCTGGCCCCTTCCTTTTCACCTAACCACCAATTGTTCATTTGTCTCTTGACTTTTGCGCTTTTCTTTCCCTCCACCCTATGTTTAAATGTTCCAGGTTTAGTTGCTGGCAGTAAGAGCCTTAAACTAAATTGGACTGGAGTTTCTGCCACTTGTTCACGCTTGGGCCCATTCATCACTGGAATGTTTCTCTTAAGAGTATCTCCAAAACGAATTTGGCCCTTGAGCTGGCTCTTGGTCATTAGGTGGCTACAAGGAAAGATCCATGGCCAGTAAGTTTCCATGGCCAATAAATGAGTTCAGCCCTTTTTGAGTTATTCAGGGGGCTTGTCACCACCCCACCACTGCAAGAATCCTTCCCCCCAAATATAGTTTGTGTTTCTGCAAAATCCAAGTGTAACGGTGCCTCCCTTTCTGTGCATGCTGGTGGTGCCATTTGTGCTATATAATGAATGGTGCTTGCAGCCTGAACATTGGAAAGAAAAGGAATTCTGATGTCTTGAATCAACATGCTCCCTGCTGTTCATTTTCAGACACATGACCACTCCAAGTGCATCAGGCCTCCACTGCTTCCCTACTTTGTTTCACCCCAGAAAGCATCTTTCTACCTCAAAGGATCCTTTGTAAGTAAACGGCAAGTGCTTCTTTTGCTCCCTGCCACATCTGTCTACCGATGCTAGTGCCCACTGTATGCTGTGCACTCTGGGAAATACACTCAAAATGGAACACATAATAGTTTGCCTGGAGGTGAGGATTATATTGATCTGTTTTTTGAGGTTCTGTTTAGTTAAGCACTGCATACAGGAAAAACAAAGGCAGACTTACAGTTCACTCTTAGTTAAAGTGTTGCAGGGGAGAATTCAAAACTGTATCTGCTGGATCTGTTTTTAGGAGTCCACCCCACTTTGGCTCTGGTTGGCACTGTTCTGCCAGGAGGCAGGGGTTCTTTTGGGATTTGGAGGCAATGAATACGCCAGCAGGTGAAGGAAAAGTAATGCTTTATTTAAGGAATAAAGGTATCTACAGGCAAACAAAATAGCATTTATACCTTGCAAGAGTATCTTCTCCCCTTCAGGTGCCAGGAGCCCCAGTTAGGCAGCAAAAGAGACTCCAGGCCATCAACCACACAGCACCCGGCACCTGATCTGTGTAGAAGCTCCCAAACTCAAGCTCTCACCCCTCTGGTTTTATAGTTGAGTGCTTATGGCTCACAAACTTCCATTCTACGCATGCCTGGCCCCTGGCCCCTGAGCCAAACAACTCCAGACAGCTAATCTAGGATCCTCCTGAATGCTCTATGCCTGGGACACAGCACTCCCTTCTGGCAAGGGGAATGTAGAATAAGATATGAGAAACAAAAACACATTCCGTTGTATAACTGAAGACTCAACATACAACATACTTGATAATGGCAATATGCGAAGAAATGGGATATGTCACCTAACTCCTTGCCATACAATAATCTTCCGCATGTTTCTAGTACAGGCACCTGCCACCAAAGCTTTGGTTCATTCCGCTCCTTTTATAGCCAGAGCTTACTGGTTGATCCAAGTGGTTCTCCTATTTAGTGCTAGATGTTACTGAGGGCTAAATATTGGCATCCTTGACAAGGTGATAAATTCTCAGGCTGTTATAAGGGAAATCTAATGTAGTCCTCTCTCTCTTCCTCTTTTCTCAGAGCAAACTGAAATCTCTTCAGATGTGGTATTCTAAACTTGAATTTACCTCAGCCAATTCCACGCTGTTCAAGTTTCTTGGACCTAAAAATGTGAGGGCGCCTTAATTTAGAGGGCAAACATAGTTACTGCCTCATATTGTCTGCGTTGTCCGTGTGTTTGTGTGAGAGGGGGTGATTGCACATGCATGTATAAGCATCGAATGTGTTCTCGTAAAGAGTGTTTCACTTCTCAGGGTGTTATCTAGTTTGGACTTGTTTTCTATAATAAAAGAGAAAATAGAGGAAGATAAATGCATGAAATGAGATATATGCACATCCGTGGGGTGTTCCTCTGATGTGATTGCTAGGAAGATTGAATGCTTGTGCTTTTAGTGACGCTTCTGAGGCGGGAAGGAGAAATGCAAGTCTCGGTTCCACCCTGAGCTTCTCTGTCACATCTGGGACAGCACTTGGTTCATCTGTGACCAAGTGGCACTTCTGGGTACCTTACAGTTCATAAGCATTTGGGGAGTAACTTGCACAAAGTATCTGCTGCAGTCCTTAGCTCTTTTTATAACTTTTGGTAATCCTATATACAAACATTGCCTCCACAGAGCAGATACTGCCAAATGCTGCCTCTGTGTATGGTGTAACTGATTCATTGGCATCTCCTGACTGATGTGCTTATCTAATAATCTGTAGTCTAGCAGTAAAAGATTTCGTCCAGAAATGGAGCTAGAACTTAGCAAACATGCTAGAATTTTGGGTTGGATCCAGATTTTCAAAATATTTATATTTATTTATAAATCATAAATGAGTCCCTTCGTGGCATCCCCCAAGATGACATGTTTAGGTTTTTTTGACCACATTTTAAAATTATATTTTTGTTTAAACTTTAAATACAATTAAACACTTAAAAAAATCACCCACAGGAGAATTTGGAGGAGGAGAGAATCTTAAAAATAGAGTACAGAGCTAATGTATCTAAAATACTAAAAAGCCACATGGGTGCCAGGGAACCCAACCCACTGAAAAATGAACAAAAAAGGGGTCAACCTAACTTCCATTGAGAGAGGAAGTTTCCTAGCTGGAAACCCCTGGAAAGTTTCCATGTTTCCACCAACCTCAGGCCCAAGTCCATGCATGTTTAGACAGAAGCAGGCCTAGGATCGCATCCTCAACCTCTCACAGTTGTAGGACATGCGGAAGGGCACCTGAAGCTGATCTTGAAGTATAGGCAGTCTTTTGGACTCCAGTCGTGCTGAGAGCAGACTGATGAGGCAAGTAAGCCAGGACTGAAATTGTATTGATTTTAGTGCTCTGCTGTAGGCGTGACTAAGCCTGGTTCCAACCTATTAGACTGAAGCAGGATTCTTGCATTACTGTGTTGGTTCTCAGGCTGCATCCAAGATTCATGCACGCATGCAAGCATCCCTCCCTTCCTTCCTTCCTTTAATTAAATTTCTGTGCTGCCCCATAATCAAAGCTGTCAGGGCAGTTCACAGCATGATAAAATATAACACTTTTATCACACATACATGTAAACACTTTTTAAAAATAAATTTTAAACAATTCCTAATAAAACTTTCAGGATCTGATTTAAAGATTGCCCCCTCAAATACTCCATCATATATTGTCAAATGTCTGGGAGCAGAGTAGACATTCAATTTTTTACTGAAAGATATCCTGCCTACACCTACCAGGTGCTACAAAGCTCAGAGTAGTACTGAACGATGGTGCTTTACCTTGCCATGAACCTTACAATATATGATATGGCTACAGACTTTTCTCAGTGTATGTTCACCACTAGCACACACTGAGAGAAGCATGGACTAATTATAGCTCTCTATTGCATATTTCTGCTCTTGGCATGCTTCAAAAAATGTACACACACAGCACATGAAGTTGCCTCACACTTTATGGGTTAACCACAAAAACATCTGGTCATCTCAGCCATTTAAATAAACTATTACATGCAAGGGTGACATAGCTCTTAAATGCCAAGATTTTTGCTCCTTGGGCTGGACAGATTCTCCTTACAATCCTGGTGTTACTGTAGGACTATCTTGTTAAGGTTCCAAAGACAGAAGCAGATCTAAAGCAGTCTTCCATTTGTCTCATCAGCAAAAATAGCTTAACTACTTTTATATCAAATACCTTTTAAAGCCATATACATAGAAAAGTGTGTGTGTGTGTGTGTGTGTGTGTGTGTGTGTGGGCCGTCTTAACGCGTGGGCCTGATGAGCACTTGCCCATGGGCCCCATATTAATCTGTGTATTTTAACCCTTGGAAAATTGGAAAACTTCCAAAATTAACAGTAGTTGTCGTTGTTGTTGTCGTAGGGGCCCCAGTACACTGCTTTGCCTGGGGCCCATAATGCTGTTAAGACAGCCCTGGTGTGTGTGTGTGTGTGTGTGTGTGTGAGAGAGAGAGTGAGAGTGAGAGTGAGAGTGAGAGTGAGAGAGAGAGAGAGAGAGAGAGAGAGAGAACAAACGAGTGAAAGAAATTTTATTTGGTACAAAAAGCAAGCAGAGACAATAGTTAATTGGACCAGTATATGGAGGAACTCAGGGTTTTGACATTGCCTTAAATGATCAGTCAGTAGTAAAAAATGGGTACATATATCTGAGCAGACATCTGTAGAACAGCATGGGAAATCTCAGTAATTTAGGCTGCCTTACATGCACTAGCTGATACAATTTATGGCTTTTAATTATTTTTCAGAATGTGTTCTGGAACTCAGATGGTATGAGGAAAAATGTGCAGAACCAAATTACCCATAAATACTAAAGCCTTAAGGTTCAAGTTGCACCCTTTGTGAGGAACCGTTTCGGTAGTGTAATACGTATAATGTGTATCTGAGGACACTGTGCTCTGACAGGCTTGCTTACAAGTAAGGGCAGCTCTGCAGATTCAGTTGTTTGCAAAACATCATGTACACAAATCTTTAAACAACTGTGTATATAAAGTGAGGTAACCTGGGGTGAACTAGTTTCTTGTATGCATATGCATATTTTACTTTTTAGTTCATTTGAATTAACGATTACTCCTATGTAAAACAGACACAAAACCCATGCATCTTTCTTCCTCTGTGAATTGATCCTCACCCTTGTTTTCCATGCAGGTCAGTGAAGGGGTGTTGACACTAAACCTTGGTCTTGATGAGGTTTATACTCTGACAACCTTGACAACAGGCCATAAAAACATTTTCCCAGATCCACCTCCATCCCAGCCTTTTCCGTCCAATTACAAGGATGATTTCAATATCCGTAAGTCAGTCCTTGAAACCATTTGAGGGGAATTCTTTAAACTGGAGTGTTGCCTGGTGGTCTTTGCCTTTGCCTAGGATAGGGCCTTTATCAGTATCTTAATTCTCAAGAAGACATGATAAAGGATGATGAAAAACATACAGCAGTAACCATTCTTATCTTGAGTGGACAATTCGTGCCCAATAGGCACTGAATTTGCTTCTGCAGACTTGCAGTTTGGAAAATACTTCTTTGATCTCACAAACAGCCACATATGTTGAGATTTTTAATCTGCCAGGGTCGTCGTGGTCACCTGTGAGCTAGGAATGAGGATCCCCAAAGGATTTCACTTGACCTTTCCTAAGGGCCTTTCTAGTCCTCCCCTCAAGAGTTCAGTCTTAACAATGTGTTAAAGCAACAGGTGTGAAGGCCTTTTCCTGCCCAAAATGGGGAAAACCAGATTTTTAAAGAAGCATTTTTCCTGGATTATGGGAAAATTTGAAAAAGCTGCCTCCCACCCACTCCAATTGTCATATCTTTTGTTTAAGACCCTCTGTTTTCAGATTCAGGGTGGCTGGCAAACCAGTTCTGAAGTAGGTGTGGATCCATTAGCTTCTGCCACTTAGGAGGCTGAGAGAAGTTGCTGTTTCTGTGTGCCCAAAACATTTGTGAATGTGTGGAGATGAAATAATGACCTTTCTGTTTACAAAACAGGCAACCCACCTTTCAGTGAGGCACCAAACTTTGCTGATCAGACTGGGGTGTTTGAATACTTTGTAAATACTTCTGCTCCAGAGGAACATACCTTCACTCTCCGACAGGTGGTAACTCAGAGGCCAATTACCTGGGTTGCTGATGCAGAGAACACCATCAGTGTTATAGGCAGCTATAAGTGGTATGTAATGGAGTGTAATGTGATAAGACTGAATTGCAGTTTGGTGCAAGTTACCATGGACACTGATAATAGCAGTTAATTGCAGTGTGCAACATTTCAACATAACCTGCATGCAAAAGCGGATTCTTTGCTGCTCACTTGTAGCATTTTGTTCCCTTTGAGCTACTGTGGTGCTAACATAAACCAAGCGCTCCGTAGTGATAAATTCACTATGATCCAAGACTGCCACCTGCTGCCTGCTTCTGTGGAAAGAGAAGCTGATGGAAACAAGATTTTGGATAAAGGGAACTGAATATAAGTCATTTGTCATAGAGAAAACTGCCTTGGGCAATGTTTTTGGAAATGATGGTGTTACAGGAATGTTGCTTTTTCACTCAGCAGTAACAAATCCTTACAGACTAATTCACTATGCTGCTATCCCTGCCACATTGCAATTAACTTGTTTTTTAAATTTATACGCCGTACAAAAATTGTACAAGTCCTTTCAGAGTGGCCTACAGCAAAGCACAGCAGGGGCGAGTGTTTGCACCCCTTTCCTCCCCTCCTTGCTGGTGGCTGCTGTCATCTGCTGTGATTGTAGCTTTGCAGCTACTGCTCTGGGGAGGTGGGCCAAGCCAGGAAAGAATGCAGCCCCTCCCCAGCTAGAAATGCTAGTGGAGGCTTATCTCAGCAGCCTGCGATGGCACATGCAGCTGGGTTAGCGTAGCAAGATGGAGAAAGTGACAGCTACATTATACTCCCTGCTTGCCTGCTTGGCCACCGTTCTTTGTTGTGTTGAAAACACCTCCTTTCTGGGAGCTGTTTCCAAGGAGAATCTGTAGCGTCCTGCTTCATGTTGGCTTGAAGCTAAGCAGTTTGTATTTGAGCAGGCAGATGCATGATGACTTTGTCACCCAGTGGGGCATTGTAATATTCCGGGTGTCATATATAAGCTCCTATAGAGTAAAGTTGGAGACATTAAGGGGGAAGTCTTATGTATGCTTAGGCAGAAAATGGCCCAGCAGACAGCCTCAGCAGGATAGGGCTTTTTCTGTCTAAATAAGCATACAATTCTACCTTTAAGGTGCAATCCTATGCATGTTTAGACAGAAACAAGTTTTAAAACTGCCAGCATTCCCCAGCTGCCAGCATGATGTTTCTCCCTCCAAATATTCAATAGGATTGCCTCCTTGATATATCTTGGGAGAATATAGCCATGCAGGCAGGGCACTCACAATAGTCAGTATAATGATGCAGTCCTGTCATCATATTATCTGGTATCTGGCATGCCTTATTCCTTGAATAGACAACAGTACGCATTCCTCACATCACAGTTTTTCTCCTGTTCTTTTCTGTGTGTGTGATTGCAGTGGGGAGGCGATGGCACAGCATCACTATTCACTATTTTCCATTGAGAATCCTGTACCCTTGCAGCAGTGAATGCAAATAGCAGCTTTCTACGCATGTGGGCATCTGTGTTTGTATGGGAGAGTATTTTCAGTGGGAAAATGCCTCTTGAGGGTTGATCCTCCCCCAGTGCCTCACAGCCACGATCTGCACCTTGTTCTTCTGCTTTCTTCTCTTCCTCACATTTCCCATGGATACAGTTTCTAAAAGCAAAACAAGAATGGGAGAGACTGTCACTTCATTACCAGATCATAGATTAGGACCATATTAAAGACACCTACACATGCACAAGAAAAATCCTTTTGTCAAAACGTTGACCTTTCCTCTGTTTTCCCTGTGTTGACAACTACACTGTCTTTTTCAGGGTAAACCTAACAATAACATGTGACGTTTATATAGAATCTGAGAAAGGAGGTGCATTTGTTGCAGGAAGAGTTAACAAGGGTGGGACATATGTTAGAAGTGCTGAAGGTGTTTTCTTCTGGGTCTTTCCTGATGGCACCTACCAAGTCACCCGTGATCTCTGTGAGTAACATTTACATATCTCTTACATCCCTGATAGCTGCATCTAACACTATCCTGAGCTACCGCAGAGCAGAGTGGCATTCATAGGTGGCACTGCCTAGCTATTAAGCAATGGTTTGAATTATGGGTCTTGCAGATTTCTTGTTGGGTTTTTCTTCCAGCTTGATTTCAAGCCAAGATGCTTGTTTTAGTTTATCAGATGGTAAATATAACTGGCTTTGAGAGACCCTCAAAGCCAGATATCTTCAGCCTAGAGCAGTTCTGAGTGGCTTTTATTTGTAGTGTTAAAGTGAGATGGGCAGAGCAAGCCAGTGGCCCCTAGATAGTGTCTGCAGGGTCACGGGCTCTTATAGCTCTGAGGTTGCAAAAGGGTTCTGAACTCTGAGTTGGGGATCCTCTGAGTTGGGGAACTCTGAGTTGGGGATCCTCTTCCCCTCACCCCCTGAACTCAGCACTGATGTGGAAAGAACCACACTGGCTGCCTCTCCAAGATCATAAGAGTGACCTTGGAGGAGGGACTTAGGGGATGTTCCAGGTGGGCAGAGGTGCTTTGCCGAGTGGAAAGAACATGTAGGTGACCTTTGCCTCTACACTCCTCCTGCTCTCTGTGGGATGCCTGTCACCCACCAGGTTCAGAGGGAAATGGGGATCCCTATGGATTGCACTCTGATTTAAAATATCAAGTCACCTTTTGCTTGGGAAAAATGCTTTCTGAATGGTTTAGCTTGTAGGATCTAGGAGAACCTTAGACAGGTGTACAGCCTAGCAATGGATGATTCTGCTATCTTCCATTTCACTTGGGTTCTCTTTTATTCAGGTTTGTTCTTTCTTGTTTCCATACTGAGTTCTGAAGAAATGTGTATGGATTTTTGAGGACATTTTTGAAAAAAAAAGATTTTTGTATGCATTTTAAAAAAACAATTTCCAATGAATACAGAATTATTTATGCATTTTTCTTCAGTGTGTGCCTTTATGTAGGTGTGTTTGAAAATGTGTCTTTTTTTGAAATGAATTCACATTAAAATGCAAACTCAATTAACTGCATACTCAGTGAATTCATCACCCACTCCAATTAATCGACTCTGTCCCTAGCTCATGTGAGGGCTAAAAGTGTGGTATGAATCTGGCTTCCAATACATCCAGGTCCTCTAAAGAATTTGGCGCATTTTGCATTAAGATCTGTAGCAGGGTTGTAAACTCATTCAGCTGAATGTGCTTTTGAAATTTTCCATAACTGGGAGCTAAAGCACAGGTAAGCAGGAGAGGCTATGTAGGCTATACATATTTTGGCTGACTTTAAAGACCAGGGAAATGAGCCAAAGTTGACTTAGGCAATGTGAGTTGGGGCATACAGGAATGAGGCATTCTGTGAGCCAGATCCAGGCATAAGTGACAGTGGTGTGTGTACATTGCTGGAGTTGTGTGAAGGACCAGAAGTTTGGAAGGCAGAGGGTGGTGGGGTTAGTGTTGGGATTAGCGTTAGGGTGAAATGAAGGTCCCAAGAAGAGAGGTGTTAGGATAGAGGTGCAGAGAACCAGGGATTGGGCCAGGTCATCAACAAGGTAACCACATACTCAGAAATTCCAAATCATGCTATTCTCAAGAACTTGAACAGACTTAGTGAAAATATGCAGGAAGCATTTCGGGTCAAAAAGAGCTGGTATGGTGTAGTTTACTAGCATCCCCAACCTTTCCCAGCCTGGTGTCCTCCATGTAAACTCTTTCCACAGGATGCGGTTGAGGCCCCATCAGTGAGTGTGTTCAAGGATAGGCTGGACATACACATGGTAGGCATGTCATGAGCAGAACTGGCTGGAGCCGGAGGTCGCACTAGATGGCCTGAGAGGCCCCTTCTGACTCACTATTTTTCTGTGTTGGAGTACAATTCTCATCGTTCCCAGTTGCCATCCAATATTATCTGGAGGATACCAAATGGTGGATGGTTGCCTTCAGTTTTGGATCAGTATTGGCTTTGCATCCCCATGTAGCTAGAAGCCTCACTGAGTAATCTGAGCACCTCCCCTCTGTCTCTCTCTCTCTCTCTCTCTAATGGAAAGTAGAGGGCTGTTGTAAAGATAACATGGGGGAGCCCATGTATGTGGTACTGAGCTCTTTCAAGGAAGGATGATGATAATGATAAATATGCAAAGAGTTTCTGCTCCTTCAGTTTAATCTTGAAAGCTTGAAATTATATACACACACACACACACACACACACGTGAACGTGTGTATATTACACTTAAAAGTTAGTAACAAGTACAGTCTTGTATTCTTGAGTAGTACAGTCACAGTGTCATGTAAAAGAGATAAAGCAAGTCAGTTAATGAGACCATATTAGGTATCAGTATTTAAAGCAGTAACTTTTCATGAATATGTAGAATCCTTTATATGAACAGCCAGGCATCATAATTTTATTTTGTTTTGTTTTTGATGCAACCATGGACTAGTTTGGGTCTTGGGTTTTGATCCAGATTTAATAGAAACATAGAAACAGAGTCAGAAGGGGTCTCCTGGACATCTAGTCTGACCCCTGGCTCCACCTGGCCCTGCTCATGGCATGCCTACCGTGACATGCCTTAATGAAGTCCTACTGGTTACAGTGCACCTAGTTTAAGTCCAACAGTCTGGATATAACTCATATAGGTCAGCATTCTGGTACACTCCAGAGGTTTTGGACTATAACTCCCATGACCTTTGACCAGCCATGTTGGTTGGGGCTGATGGAAATTGAGGTCCAGAAAATCTGGAGAGTTCTACCTGTCCAGCCTTACTGCCACTCAAAGTAAAGCAGTGAATATTCACCATAGTTATAACTCAATGTTTGTACCACACTGTTCCCAAAATGAGTAATATACATTTTTCAGTCACGTCCATTATCTTCCTGTCTTCCTTCACAAACTACTGCTGTATTAGTTAGTCTGTCCTATACTCCAGAAAGCCATTCACTGACAGAAGGAAGACGCACTTGTTCCCAGTTATAATATATGATCATTTCATCTGCTGTTCGTAAATGAAGTATCATTTCTAAGTCCTGAGGTAGGACTTCATATTTAATTGACTAGAACTGAATAACCAGTCGATCAAAAGGTAGTTTATATCCTGTCTTGCCTCTAATGTTCATAATTGAGTTCCCGTCTCATAATGTCAGGGCATGGTCCAGATATAGCAAATGTTTTAAAGTATAATTTATTTGCAGTTGGTGAAAACATCTTGATGAAAGGGCTATCTGGTGTGCGGCCTAAAGTGTGGCATACACTCACTTTGATTCTTACGGTAAGAAACACTAAAACTGGAGCAAAACTGAGCCAATTTTGAAAGTCTGTAAGAGATTAAAATATTTATAGTCCTCAGGAACTCTCTATGAAAAGCAATTATCCTCTGACAGATGGAAAATCTGTGTCAAAGCAGGTAACAGCTCTGTTAAGAGGACTTGACTATAATGATAAGGCAGAGTTGCTACTAAGTGTAGCTGTGTCTTCTCTCCGTTCCTTCTCCTCTCACACGTGTGCGCATACCTGCTGTTCTCCCCAGAACAGTCAGGCAGCATTCTTTGGCCCCTGAGCATGCAATATCCTCGTGTTTCAGAGTTCTCATTCCTCCCCTGGGATGTTCTTCTCTTAAATGTATTTAAACTTTGGCAAACCACCGTGGCCTTCCTGATGCATGGGACTGGCAAATCACTACCAAGTTCAGCATACCAAGCCATTCTGGTCTGTTGTGGCAAAAGCAACCCGGAGCCTTGTGGCAGCTTAAATTCCACGGCATAGTGCAATCTATTGCAGACTAGAGTCCAGTTCACTAGCTGTATAAAGGCTTATCCTGAGCTGGCAAATACCTTGTGCTGAGAAATCCCATTGGGTCCCAGGCTTTTGGTCAATTTGTATGTTGAATATGCTCTTAGTGCTGCCTCCAGTCCTGGGAGAAAAAATAGCTGCAACCCTTTGGAAGATCAGATGAATGAGATGAGTCTGAAATGTTCACCTCCTTGGACCAAGTCTGTTTATTTTAGGGGGTTGTTTTCATTGTGATACAAATTATATTGGGACAAAAAGTAAGGCTTGTATGAGACCATTCACAGTATCAGAAATCTTTACTATTCCACAGTCAGCTTTGAAGGCCACGATCGGGCGGCTTTGACCTGTAAGTCTGTGCAAACTGTGCAAACTCTCAGCGCTTTTCCATAACTAGCTGACTAGCTGAGCTGCCATTGGCTTTAGTGCTTCAGGTTACTGAATAGTTTTGTGACCCTCATGCATTCATATCTTGTTATGTTGACGTTCTCCCTTTACTTTTGGCAGGGCTCTAATGCTTCTGGCATGTTAAATGGCTATCCTCTCTGGGAGAATGTGACTGTACAAGATCCAGGGAACGGCTGGGCGGCTATTGGGACACACTCTTTTGAATTGACTCAGTTTGACAACTTTCAGGTTCAGGCCAGCTGAGACTTCTGTCACACATCGTCAAGCCGACCTGTTTCTCCTTGGAACTAGAGCCAGTTGAAGCCTTGTATATTGCACTTGTTGGTAAATGACATTGACAGGGAATTTTTGTTTCTTTCGCATTGCTTTTTAAAAAAGCATTCAACTTCCTCCTAAGTGTAAATATATTTCTATCATCCCAACTAGGATTTTCTCAGAAATGCAACATCTATCTCCTGAAAGCATTAGTTGAATACTACCCAGAGAGCTTTGGCTATTGGGTGGTAGAGAATTAATAATGTCAATAGTAATAGTAATAAGTCCACGAAGTTTTTTCTTCTGAAAGTCATAAATGGAATTGTAACACTGCTTGTCTTTAAATTGTTGGGAATTTAAAGTTCCTAGCTTTATTTTAATAACTGTGCAACAGAAACCTCACAAAACTGCTATTTTCAAATCTTCCTGTAGCTATTAAGTCCACTCCTTTTATTAAGATTCATCTTTAGGGGAGATAATGTGCTTGGTGTATCTGACTATTATGAAGTGCTGTAATTTTAAATACATTTTTTCTCTTTTGTATCTTATCTGACATGATGAAATAAAGAACTCCATGAATTGAAATGCCTTCTCCCAGGAAATGAGAGATTTTGCTCCTAGTAACCTAATGCCTTAGCACAGCTATTTCTTTCCACTGAAGAAGAAACCAGTTGATAGGTGGCTTGAAGTGCCTTATTTTAAACTACCTCCCCAGTGAAGAGCAGTGTTGAATGTTCCAGCCGCCCATTCTACATTTCGTGGCCCTGCAACTTGCTTTGTCTTTTGTTCCCTCTCTGCTTATCTGCTTCTGTAGGTCGTTGGAAGGAGAAAAGATCTCTAAAGGATTGCTGGTGAAAATTTGTGGCCATTTCACACATGAAAGTGCCCCCACACAATCACTTTGAGTACATTCAAAGCCAGCTTCACAGCTTCATATGTTCATGTGAATCGGTCTGTCCATGTGGCTGCCTGAGCATTTACAACACTGGTGATAATGGATTGGTGAAAGCCCACTTCACAATTTTCTCCTCCCTGTGCTATTGCCCCAGATCTGCTCTGGAGGGTCCCTCAAGCCCCCTGAACAGAAGTGGGAGGATACATAGGAGAAGGAGGAATCCAGACCACCAGCAGTTCCCTTGTGCTGGTGGAATGACATTGTTTGATACAGCTCACTTTCTCAAGGTGGAAATGCTTCACACAAATCGCTCCACCACAAAACCAGCGGTAGCCGCTTCCTCATTTCTACTGAAATCGAACTGATGCATGTTTGGCACTGAGTGTTACAGGAGTGAGCCAACTTGAGAACTCTGCTATGTCAAACTTTGAGGTCTATGAAGTAGTGTCAGGCGAAACTTGGAAGGAAGAACCAAATACAAAATGATGGGTGAGGGGTAGAGCTGGTCACCTGCTGCTATTGTACTTTAGGAGCAATATACTGACTGTACAAGTACACAGCAGTTAACTGAATCACTACAGATAAAGGATTCTGACGCAAAGCTGGGCTTTAGAACAGCACAAAAGCCTTGCTAAATGTACCTGTATTTTACAGGCAAGAAACACTGAAGCCAAGAGATAATCCATTTGTCAGACTGATGTTTGTTAGTTTTTTAGGCTGCTTTTGTTAAACGGTTGGCCATCAGAAAACCAATCTACTGCAAATCACTCAGAGATTTGCCACTAGTTTCTGATTTACTTTGTGACCACCGTTTAACTTCACAAATTCTCTCTTGCTCCTTCCTCTTCCAAAGTTGCTAAGTTACGGAAAGGGGTTCTTTGCAACAAGCAGCCAGGCTCTTAAAACCACACTACTCTGTGATAAAATAGCTCAGTATGTTGTCTGTTTGGATTTCTTCCCTGAGGTTGCCAACTTGTCATACACACTGCATAAAGCTAACTTGTGTTTTCAAACTATATGTTGGCCTAGTTGCTAGCTCTAGAAAATGTCCCCATTAAGCACCACTCCTCCCCAGACTTTCAGTTTGAAGAAGATTCCTCTGGTGGAGGAACAGTTCAGATATTGCATTTTATTTCATTAGACCAAGCCTTTTGCTTGGGCTCTTGGCCCCTTCACTGTTAAACCAAGAAACCTCAAATTAACTATAGTTTCCTTCTCCTCCAAACTAGAAAGGTGTGGTTACAACAAGCCAGGATATTAGATCAACTTCAAACTGTGGCTTGTTATGTAGCATGTGATATTGTTTCCTGATTTAGATAAAATGGGAAACTATGCTTAATTTGTAGTTCACATTTAATAATGAAATAGGTTGGTAAGAATGTGGTAACACGGGATCATTACTTTATGTATTGATGTTATATGAGCTTCCTATCATGTTGGCCATAATAGTTTCTTTAATTTCATTACTTGTTCAAATGGTAACAGTAATTTTTCCTTTAAACACTTGTAATACATAGCAGTAAATCCATCAGGACCAGGTGCATTATCGTTCTTTTAATTTTCTAATGTTCTAGGTTTTTTTTCAAATTTATTAAAATTAATTAAATTTATTAAAATTAAAAATACTGACTTCAGAAGATGAAATGGAGCAGTATATAAAAGAAACATGTCTTGAGAAATCCAGCTCTGAGCAGAGGAAAATACTGAATGATACTATTCGAGACCTATGCCACATGCCATTAGAGACCAATATTTTGCTTGAGTCCCTGTCCTGCTTTTGAGTGTGGTCATTTATAGTACAACAAAATTTACCAGTTTTACCTTGTCAAGAGAAAATATTTTCAATTTCTTTTGATCCCTATGTCCTGTGTATTGTGTGCACATGTGTACCAAAGCTTTAGAAGTTATATATATGGAGAAACTTCCAAAGGGTATTTCTAAGTGTTTCACATAAAATCGGAAGCCTTATGCTAAGGACTGATACTGGCCAAGCTTGCTGATCTCACCAGACTACAAAAATAGAACTCGAGATGTTGATTACAGCATTTCATCTTTTGTAGCTTTTAAATGTAAGGTCATAATTGACTTTATTGTTTCCAAAGACTTAATTTTTTTAAAAAAATCCCTTTTCACTGTATTAACAGATGGTTCTATTTTTGCATTGTGTACTAAATGGTAGCATAATCAAGAGTTTGGTTCCTTGTTGTTCGAGTTTAAGTGTGCTCATTGGGTTAATGTTTGCTTGGTGTTTGCCTTACTTAATTTATAACAGGTTGCCTTGAAGTTTCCACAAAAGGCCAATGTATGTGACTGTCAAAATGCAATGTTTCAAACTGGAAAAATAAATGTTGTTAAAAGCATTGTCTACGTAGAATGCTTCTTTTTTTTTTTTTAAATTAAAGTCACTGTCTGAAGAATCTGACCTGTGATTTTGAACTCAACCTAGCATTGCAAAGTGTTTCATATCTACTGGGGATACTAAGGGGCCACCTTTCTTGCCATCAACCTGACCAGATATTAAGTTCTGCAGGAGCTGGCCTTCTAAGATTCTGTTACCTACAAAGCCCAATTTGTTGGGCGCATTTGAAAGGGCTTTCTCATGTATTGCTCCCAAACTATGGTACATACTTGCTGAAGAACTACAATTGGCCCCTACGTTCTTGGCTTTTTAGAAAAGGTATATTGTTTTTCATTTAACTTCTATATTGCTCTATGGGTGAAGATTTCTGGGTGGTTTGCAACAATCCATAAAACAGCACAATAAAATACAGAATGAATTTCATAAAATTAGAAAAAAGATTTTAAAGTATTGAATAGGTAAAACAAAGAATGATTCTGCAAAAACCACCTGGGATGGGTAGTCCTCTCAAGCCCCTGATATCCAGATATTATGTTTAAAAGCCTTGGTATGAAGGGCTGTCTTAACCTGGTACAGAAAAGATAACACAGCTAGCACCCTATGACTTCAGTGAGGAAGTCGTTCCATAGTTGTGGGGCCACCATAGAGAAAATATTTGCCTTCATTGCCACTTTTGTATAAAAAGTGTCCAGATGTGTATAAATACACATCTTTAAAATGTGTATTTTAATGTTTGTACAGTTGTCATGATCTTGTTGGTTTGTGGTTTTATTATTTTAAATTGTTGGATGCTCCCTTGGTGACGGTGATGCCCTGATGGCTTCTTAGCATAAAAGCTGGTATATATTAATATTATTATCATGTTTCATTTACATCCCCCCTTTTTTCTCTTGTAAGGAACCCAAAAAGGCTTACATGGCTTCATATTATCATCACAACAACCATCCTGTAGGGTAGGCCAGTCTGAAAGTGAGTGACTGGCCCACAACTTTGCCTTTTACATTCTTGCTTCTATATTTGTTCTTATAGCATAGTGGACAGTCATGGATTTGATCTGGGTAGAGATTGATAACTCCATATCAATGTTCAAAGATTTTCAGTCAGTAATGGAGCTCATTGAGAGATCTTGGGCCAGTCACTCTGAACCTAACCTAGTGTGTAAGAGTATTTGGATTAACTGGAATCAATTTCCATTTAAGCCACTGGAGCTGCTTGGAAGAGGGACAGGATGCAAATGTGATAACTTGCAGTCAATATATGGAGACGGCTGTCTCACTTGCATAAGTGGGTTGAGTCCAACAGAGTGCCTCCTTAGGGAAAGAAATATGGTGCCAATATTTAAATTTTCCAGAGAGTTGTAATTGGTTGTTAACGCAACAGCCCAAGTGGTTCAGCAACATTGGAAGCAGATTTCATACTGAACACTGAAATATGGAGTGTGATTATATTACAATGTTTGGGTGTGCCAGAAGGGGGAGGAATGTTAAAAGATAAATCCTTGGAAACATTACTCACGCTCCACTTGGAACAGATGTGTATGGAGGGTTGAAATTTTTATTCACTCTGCATTACATTAGTAGACAATACTGCATTATTCTCTGTCAAAGTGCGGTTGTAAAATAGGAAAGGGGAAAGTTTTACTTAAATTGAGGATGTGAAAAAAATTAACTGATTATCAGATGGCGTGTGTATGAGAGAGAGAAAGACAGAGAGCTTAGAGGGGTGGTATGGGAGAGAGGAGCGTGATGGTGATTAGGAAACTTCTGCAACCAGCTGGTTTCCTTGGTTGCTGTCACCACTTTTACCCTTACCCCAGCCTTTGGATAGATGCATAATCAGTGCATGGAGAAGGGCGGAGATCCTGTTCATGGTCTGGGTTCCTGGCCAAGTAACAAGGTAACTTCTTACAGGTAAGTTCTTAAGTAATGGGTTTCTGCTCCTACCCTCCACTTACTTTTGGCCTCAGTGGTTACATGGCATGCATAGGGATGCATTGCTTAAAAATGCATGTCTTTGCATCCCATTTACATTTGCTAACACATGTATGGATCAAGATTTAGAGATAATTACTATAATTTAAACAGCAGTACAGCACATCTCTTCATGGTAGGGAAGACCATGACCAGGTGACCTGTGTGCTTAGTGTGCTGTCTGGGAGGTAACTGTGGGTGGACAACTGATGCAGCTTGACACGTGAGGGCCTTCTGTTTGAACATCCCTATTATTTATGTTTCAAATGGCTACATTCAGTTTGTTTTGCATTGATAGGGGTCCACAAACAGCAAAGAAAGAAGGGGAAAAAAGCTATAAGATACTCTGGGAGAAAGAATTGAGAAATTACTGAGAACATATGAAATTAAAACAGCTACCTCTGAAGTCTGACTCAGCTGGTGTCTAAATATTGCTGCAGTATTTGGTTTTACTTTAGTGCAGTGTGAGGGGTGGGGCACTCTGAATTTGTTTGGAGTAGTGGATTTGGATGTCTGTGTTTAATCTTTTCTCTGCAAGCCATTCTTCTGACCAAACTTACCTTTTTGCATGCCTTTTGCTCCACATAGGAAAAATACATGCAGTACAGTAAAATTACTACTACTACTACAATTACTACTACTACTACTTACTACCTTTTTGCAGGAAACACATCTGCTCTGGGCTGTAATTTCCATAAGCAGGTTCAAACCTCCCTGGTTCCTTGGGTGAAAAATATCTGCGACCAAACCCTGACCTGCTTCTAAAGCTGACCCTGGTCTTTCTTCTGATGGTCAATCTACCCACACACAGAGAAGATTTAAGACATTTTGGTGCTTGAGACGATGGACAAGATGGTCCCCCACCTGCCGTGTATAGATATTGACTGGACTAGCACTTGAGTTGTGTTGATGGGATAGCCACTGCCCCAGAATCTGCCATCTGAGGCAGTCAGGTCACATAGAGGTGGGTAGAGACCGGTTTTCCCCTGCAGAGGAAGGCAGGATGCACTCCAACAGAGCCAAGCTCAGGGAACCGAGGTTCAGTTTGGATGCCAGGAAGTACTTCCTGATAGTTAGGACCCCAAGGGTATGAAATGGGCTTCCACAGGAGGTGATTGAAGTCCCATCGGTGCGGGTGTTCAAGGATAGGCTAGACATGCACATGGTAAGCATGTTGTGAGTGGAACCGGCTGGAGCAGGGGGTCAGACTAGATGGGCTGAGAGACTCCTTCTGACTCAAGTTTCTATGTTTCTATGTTTTATTGTGGTGGAGATCAATCTTTTCAGAATCTGACCAGCTGACCATGTGAAACGAAGTGGGTTTCCATGCAAGGTAAAAAATAGCCACCTTGTAGGTTTCATGACAATAAAGCTGTGAATCTTTACTGTTAGTGAGACTTGGTCTCACTTTTTAACACATGCAGAACCTGTAACTTGGGGACATGCATGAACTTCAGGTATTAACAGGACTGTAATACCCCAAAGAATCAAGTATGTTGAGAGATCAATCATCAGGTTTTTCTTTCTCTCCTGTCATATTTAGCTTCTGTGTATTGTCTCTGTTATTTTGCCATTGCCATCTTTCACAAGTTCCTAGCACAGCATGTTGAGCTGAGCTTGGTCCAGCAAAGGGTGCTGCATTTTGTTTTTCATTACAAAGATGGATTGCAGCAATTCTCTGCTGTCCAACCTCCCTGATGGGGCCTTTCAGCATCCACAGATGCTCCTGCTGCAGGGTACTTAGTCTTATTAGGTTGTCTCAAAAGCAAACTACTTTCACGAAGTTCCCAGGCATCTTGTGAAACAACATGTCTCTTAGGCAAAGGATTTCATTTAATGCCATGAATTCATTTGGCATGTCCGGACAGGATAGATTTCCTTTTAACCCCTATTGTTATGACTAGCAAATGATTTATTAGAGATGACGAGTATCCTGACTGGTGGGCATTCTGTTTGAATTAAAATCCAACACTGAAACACAGACATGAAATTATATACAGTTCAAATATTTTTCTCACAGGACCTGGCACAAAGCTTGTTTCAGCCAAATCAGACCCTTTGAAATCTCATTGAGTGCAGTGCAACAATTAAAACAAGGGCTTGAGTTCCATCATAAAAAGTTCAGCATGTGTTTGACTCTCTAACATGGCAACTGGTTGGAAATAAAAGGGCTTAGCTTTGGCTGGATTGTGCCCACAGTTTTTATATACAAGAAATTCTCCATCAGGAAAACAACCATGTATATCGAGCACCCAGACCTCCAATGAAATGAAACCTATCACAACCCTCTTTTCTCAAATCGTGTTCCCTATTCTGTGTTACAAAGATCAGATTCCTTACTTTCTTCCTCAGTATTCCAGGAATTCAAAAGCTTGAATGTAATTGTGGAATTCTGATTGGTCCTAAGAAAGATATTGCCTACATGAGGATTTTTTTCCCCCGATAGACTTTTTTTGGGGCTTATTCTTAAAAAAACAAAAAACCCCTTGCTTTCAGAACTTTAATGACACCCTTGAACAAAACCTAAATGGCTATATAGCTGCAAGTAGCCACAAGCCACAAATAGCCACCAGAAACTCAGGACTGGATCCAGATCCAGCTGTTTGCATGTTTTACTGTTCAGTCCAAGTGACTAGATGAGACTTCCCCAACCTGGTGCCCTCCAGATGTGTTGGATTACAATCCACACCGTACCCAGGCCAGTGCAAGGTTGGAGAGGGCTGGACTAAACAATACTGTGAAACTATCCACATAGCCTCTTCCATGTATCAACATGGTTAAGAAAGACATAACATCCAAGTGCCAGCTTGTAAAAACAATAGACACTTGAACTTTGTTCTAACCAAAAGAGTTTAGTTGATCAGGCTGAGTTTCCACAGGCTCATTTAGCAGCGGTAATAAGAGTCCTGCCAAGGATAAGGGAAAGGAATAAAGTTGGAAGAAGTCAAGGTAGAAGATGGCCAGCAAGTGCTGAAAGGCAGAGCTGAAGCTTGAGTGAAGGTTTGAGAATTAAGCAGCTGCTGGACCAGAA